GGTTAGAAAGATGGCATCCTCTGGCCTTTTCCTAAAGGCTATGCCCAATCTAAGTGACATCTCATGCTTTCAACAAGTTCAAAAGGAGTTAATAAGGATCCCCCCAAAGCCTTCTTTTGACCTTTATTCCAGGGAAGATTTCAGTAAAGCCACCTTCCCTCTCAGTGTGCTGGGACAAGGGAAGGACTCTGCCTTCAATATTGCTGGAGCTTCACTTTGATCAAAGTCGTGCCTCATCTTAGCTGTAAATATTGATAATACCCCTGTTCTGCACAGACACAACTCTCTTGTTTGCCCAAGATGTTTTGCTCAAAGCACTTCCTGCTGCTTATCAGAGGCAGAATTACAGGACTGAGCTTCTTGAGGGAACAGAATTTGTCTTCTGTTTCATACCTTAACAATAAGTACATAAACTCCAAAGCCTTTCATTTAGACAGAGTGAGAAGTCTGTGGAATCACCCCAGGAACTGAGAGGGTCCCTACAGCCCCCCATCTGTAAAGCAGAGATAGAATTAATTATGAACCTGGTTGTTTGCAGTGCAGAATGTTCATGTAGTGCTTCCAGCATGTCTGTGCTAAGCAGGAGTTTGTCGTCACTGTTGTTACATAGTTTTTATCTCATCCTCAATTATTCTTAGCTTGTCTTATTCAAGGAGACAAGGTGGAGTCTGACAGCCCCAGGTCCTCTTGAAGTGTGCTGGCTTCTCCAGCTGGGCTTGTCAGCCAGCCAGCGAGCCACGCTTCTGCTCAGAGGCTCTGGGTTTCTGAGGCAATGAGGGGACAAAGCTGACAGTAAAAGCAGCCTTACGTGTGCATTGCTACAGCTTAAGTAGCTGCCTCAAGGGATTGCAGATTAAGAAGGAAACACTTTAATTTGGCCTGAAATTATATGCAGGCTGGAGTAAGATTTTTTAGGCAATGTTTTGTCCCAGCTGTAGTTCAGGTGAGGCTCAGAGAGATCCCTGCCCTTTCTCTCTAGCTGCATCCAGCTTCCAACCCCTTTTCCTGACCTCTGTGGCAGGTTCTCTCCAGTCTTACCACATCTCTTGTAGCTTTCCTTTCTGCAGTTTAAATACTGAGTTTCCTTCATTGCCTGAAACTCTCTGCACATGACTTGTGCACCTTAGATCAGTATATATTTTTTAGAAAGTCTTTTTAATAGGACAGTGAGAGATTTAAGAGCGCTATTAGGGCCTAATGGAAATCAGTGAGGAAATATTTCCTCTTTTCAGTAGGAACAGGATCTTAGCTTAAGTAAAGTGCAGCAATATGCATGCTCTGCTCTAAGAAGTGCTTCTCTTGAAGGCATGGATTGTAGTGGATCACCACACTGGGAAACATGTAACCTACCAGAAACACCACTGGAACCTGATGGGGCTGAGAAGTATGGGCAAGGCTCCAGTGTGTCTGTGAACCCAGGGCTCACAGGAATTTGCATGGATGGCATGCCAGCTTCAAGCTTTCAGCTCTCATCTGTTGACCAATGAATCCCAAGGAGGAAAAGAATTTTTCTCTTCTTCACTAACAGATTGATAAAAGGTTCTTGCTGCCAAATCCTTAAGAAACTCTTTAGTCTAAAGATGTGGTATTCCACATGTCTAGAAACAGGCACTTCATTTGGAGCAACAGTTTGTCTGCAGAGTTTTTGTTATTCTTCTTTGTGCTACTTCCCTAGAGCTGTGATTTGTGAGGGGCCTGGCTTGTGTATGGAAGAATGCAGCAGATTCAAATTGCAGAATATTAAATATAATACTTCAGTCCAGGTTTGAGATAGACATTTTGCCTGGCTGAGGACTGGTAGCTCAGAGACAAACAAGGGAAGCTGACAGATTGGTGAATATTGGGTAGGATCATTTGTCAGGAGATGTGATGAATCACTGTGGTGCAGCATTTCATTTTCAGAAAAATCATTTTCTGAAAAAATTAAATTAAAGGCAGAAGAGACAGCTGGGGGTGTTTTGGGAGTTTTTATTTAAATCAAAGTTACAATTAGAATAAAGGCATATTGAAAAGTTCCTGTTATTCTAAAAATATTTTGAGGAAGGAAAAGAATTGAGGTTAGAAGGAAACAGGAGGACCTGGAAGAGCACTTGCCAGCTGTGCCCCACAAGTCAACTTTGGGTTTTACTTACCTCTCTCTAGTCAAAGCCAGTAGGAATTGTGTGTCTAGAGCTTCAAGCAGTGCTTCAATTGGGGGAAAAATACCCATCTTATAACCTTGCACACAGGTTATTTGAGCAGAGTCAATGTGCTTTTAATAGGACTGCACGTAGAGACTGAGCTGCTCTCAGTGGGAACGAGAGCAGCCCTCCTGTTCAGTTTCATCTGGGCTCTCAGGAAGTCCAAGGCTACATCACACTGATTAATTCATGCAAGGTAACACATTAATAACAAATGGAAACAGGGGAGACACAGAGGGGGCGGCTTCCTGCTGCTGCTTCAGCTGCAGACACAAGTGCCAGGAGGCCAAGGGCCGATCCCTGTTCCCCCTTTCTCCTGGAGCCCCGTCATCACCCACAAACTCAGTCATTCTCTACAAGGTTATTCCTAGGGTTTGATCAACACCTTTCTGACCCTAGTGTCAAACAGAAGAGTGTGAGTGCCTCAAGGAGTAGCTGTGTGTGTCTGACAAAGAGATCTTAAATCAGCTGCTCTTCAGAGAGCAGCATACTGCTGTATATGCAGCACACTTAATTAGAAGGTCAGATGGAAACTTTAGTAAAACAGAACTGTGTAAAGTCCTACCTTTACCATCACTCAAATCAATCTAAGTTCTCATTGTGTGTATATGTGTAAAACTGGTATTTCCAGATGCCTTCCCTGTCAGTGGACATGAAATAAAAAGGTAAAACAATCTGGCAGTTCCATGTTCCACAACATGTGTTTGCCTCTTTCAAAGTTGTAGCCTGCACAGAGATGAGACAGAGATAAGAAAAATGAGACACATGCGTGGTGTGGGATTCCAAAAAATCATTACATCATCTTCCAAGAAAGATTCAAGCAGGCACTTTATTTTTAAAACAACAAATAATGTGAGTCATACCATGTGCAGGACTTAATGTTGAGGCTTTGTGAAATAGCACTAGGAGAATTGGTCACATAATACCTGTTTTCTTGACCAATGCTCTGCTGGTTACTCAGTTCCTGAAATATGGAAATCTGATGCCGGCTGTGTTCCCAGTATAAAGGCCTTGCACTCTTTGTGCAGCAAGAGTGGTTAATTTTATGAGGAAGCCTCAGCAAGTCGCTTGCTAGTGAGGCTTCTCCAGGTAGAAGGAAGATCAGGAATGCTTGGTGACACAATCTCTTTAGACCATGTTAAAGCACACATGGACTAACAAAACTTTGCTCTTGATCTTCTGTGAATGTTAAGTTAATAAATTATCATGATCCATCTCAAATAGAATGTCAAGATTGCAAAGGAAAACTTGATTAAGGAAGTGCAAACTTTGCATTTTGCATCCTTTTAACATGGCATTTACCCTTCAGATAAGAATTGCTGATATGAACCTAAGGCTGGTGTGTAGCTTTCTCACTCTACAGGGCAGATATACTCAGGTGAGATAATATTTAAAATAAACCTTTCTCTTTCATCTTCAAGGTAACAGATTGCCTTGCTGGATTTCTGTCTTCATCTGCCCTTAGTTACCCTGTTCCTCTTCACCTCTGTCAGTTTCTGAATAAGAATTAGTTTTCCAACAATTAATTTACCTCACTGCCTCTGTAGGACATTAACTAAATTTCCAGGCCTCTCTGAGACTGGCATCACAACCCTGCCCTTCCATCCTAATTGATGGCACTGCTGGAGATCACAGCAGGTCCAGTTGAGACACAGGGAGCTGAGGGTAAGTGCAGAGCTGAAACACAATTCCATCTAATTCTTAAATGAATGCTAGGAATCCCCAGCACATATAAGTTTATCGTTTATTGCCTGTAATTTTCTCAACTAATTCCAAATTTAATGACAGCTTTCAGCTTTGGTGTTCTCTTCTAATTAACGTACCAGTGACTGTGTATAATCTCTGTGTAAAGCCAAAAGCAGCTTACATGATAATTACAGAGGGATCACAGCACCTACTGTTTAAGGAAGGCATCCATGAGAAAGGCCTTGCATGATAGTTAAGGTGCTGAGATTAAGTTGTAATTAATCTTAACTTGTGCTGTTTCTTGTACTGCCTCAAAGCTTTTTTATTACTGGCTCAACATGATGCTGGTAAACTTTCAGGGAGGAAACAAAAGAACTGGACAGATCAAGCACAATCTTCTGCACATACAGCAGAGGCTTCCAGGACATGGTGAGCTTTGAGGTCAGAGTATTTTTGTAGTCATACTGTTGAGTAACTTTATATTTTTCCCTTAATAATTATGATGTAGTGGGTTGAAAATTCCTCTTTAACATTGTGCAAGATACTTTGCATCCACCTTTTTTGCAGCTGCAGTCAGGAAGCTATTCTGACTGCACAAATCAGAAGTGAAGCCTAAGTGTATGGGAGAAGCAGAATACCTTTGCTGTCTCTGTTAACTTAAAATTAGCATTGGTTACATCATTTTAGACAGTCCTTCCCATTGGAATGACAAGTTCCAGAGAGGCAATCACTAGGGAATGCACCATGTCTGTCTGTTTTCCACTGTGGAGGAGTACACATTAATGCAATTGGTCCCAATTAAATATACTAAACTAAAAGGAAACACTGGGTGTAGATGAATGATTTCATAGATAGGCTTATTTGCAAAAGTGAGTGGTTAAACTGCATCCAGTCTCCTTGTAGTACTTTGGTAGTTATGTGAGAAGGGAAAAGATGTAGTAAAGGTTTCTGTGATAGGAAACAGGAGCATAAGCTCAGAAGAGGAACTCCTCATGCTATTTACAAAATGTTGGTTAAACTTTTATTCATTTCACTACAGGACCACTGTCCAACAGATCTATGCTCCATGCTCTTTGATTTGAAAGGTGGTACTCAGCAAATTTTGAGTTCTGTGTCTTTTGTTGTTGGTTTTAGATTGACAAGTATGCTCAGCGGGATCTGAAGAAAGGACTTCACTTGTATGGGACAGATGGAAATATTGGCCTCACTAACGCATGGAGCATCATTCAAACAGATGTAAGTCTGAGCTCTCTCTTTTACCTCTTCCTCTTTACCTTCTGGGTTCTGTAACAGCATGTTCTGGGTATGAATCTAATTAAACCTCCAAATGCCAAGTCACTCTCTTTCTCCCACCGAGTCAGCACATTAGCAAGCAAACTCTCTCCTTTTTGTAACAAGCAGTATTTTTTATTTATTTTATTTATTTCTCCTTTAATAGGAAGTATCATCTTCCTTTTAGAAGGTTGTACTAAGTTGATGCCTAAATATCATGCAGCTCTGTGCTATGTGGAGTGTGAAGGAGCTGGTCAGACTGGAAACAAGCTGTACCTTTTCTTTAAAGTCAAAGAGGTGGTTTATGCTGGGATGAAGAGCATACTAGCAAACAACCTCTTCAACCACTTTTTAATTTCTGTCCTGTCTCCTTTCACTGCTACTGTTGTTCCCACTAGTGAGTCAAAATGGAAACAGAGCATGGCGTTTGTAACCTTCTCCTACAGTCAATACATTTTCCCCAGCAGAATTTAATCATCCTCCATCACAGGTGGACTGGGAATGCTTTTTGCTGTGTTGTCACTGCTGTTCCTTTGCCCTGATTCTCTGACAGCTCTCTGCCAGTGCTCATCTGCTAAGGACTGGTGAACATTGTAGCTGGCTTCCTCCTCTGTCCTTGTCTGAGAAAACACCATCAGTGACAGTTCAGGTTTATTAGCTCTGTACCTGTTTCATATTCATTTCAGTCAGTTCTCCTGGGGGTGATATTTGTGATTTCATGTTCTCTGTTCTTGAATGGAAAAGTGCTCCAGCTTTTCTCCTGCTTTAGGCAGAAGCACTTGCACTGCCTTGGCTTCACTCAAGAAATCTTGCATAGCCTTCTCATTTTCTCCTCCAGAGGTGCAAGTGTGGTACAGACAGGAGGGGTTTAGTCTTGCCTGATGTCTTAAATGGATCAAAGACAGTAACCCCTCCTAGTGTCTCCTCTTATCGACAATACAAGGTAACAGGAGCAACAGACTGCTAAGAAATGATCTGAGAAATTAAAACCTTGAGATTGCTAACAGAACAAAAGAACTGATTGGCCAAACTCCTTGGGCATCTTTGGGTCTGCGGGACCTATGTTGAGTGCAGTAGGTTGCCTACAATACTCCTGTGTGTGAAAGACAGGAGTGTCCAAAGTTCAGGTCCAGGAAAAAAGCTAATTTCAGTCCTGCATCCAAACAGCTGCACGTGAAAAGTTCTTTCAGTTGCCTTTAAAAGGCCTCAGCATCTTGCAGTATTGTTAATAATTTCCTCTTCCAACACTTTTTCCTTTTTCCAATATATCAAATATGAGAAGGCATCAGTTACTGACAAGAGAAATGCATTTGGTGGTGCTAGCTTGAGAGCAAGCCATGTGAAATACAGATAATGTTTAATAATAATATCATTGCTCATATCCAACAGTATTAGAAAGTTTACTCTTTTACAGTAACTTAATTATGTGTAGTAAAAATGTAGTAAAAACTACTAGTATTAAAATATTTGTAGTAAGTATTAATCTGCTTTCAGTGACATCCCAAAAAGTCTTAAAAGCATATAGCAAAGGTGGGGGGAAAAGCAGTTTTTGGAGGTCTCATGACATATAAACACCATATTTCTGTTCCCCTTTGTGTAAAATATATGTAAGAATATATGTAATGTCTAGTTCATATAGTCACATTTTTTTCAAATTCTTCATAGACTGCATTCAGAAAAGATGTAAAAAAATTTGGAAACTGACATTATGGTGAGAAATTTTAAACACCTTATATAAACAGTCAAAGATGAACTAGTGATGTCATTGCAGTGCTTAAAAAGAGAGCAGGAAGGAAAAAGGGTTGTGAGAGAAAAGGGCTCTGTAATTGATCCAAGAGCTAAAAACCCAAGTTAGATGTGTCTGGTGGTAGGATGTTGTTGTTCAGCAGCACAGCAGATTCTTTTTCTCTAAAGAATTAGACCTGGCTTTTTGCTTAAAGGAAATGGTCAGGTTCAGTGACCAGCTTGGGTTTGAGGCAGGACTCAATAATCTGTGGTTTGTGTAGTGCTGCAGATCAGGGTCATTTGTCCTGGTAGTACCTTTGGTCTTGAAACCCATTACAGTTTAAAGAATGCCTTATAAATTTCAGATGAAACTCATGTTAGCTAACTCCTAGGAGCTCAGAAGGTGACAAGAAAATGCCACTCCATGAGCTGTGTGCAGCCAGGGGACATAATTCTCTCATGGCCACTGTGAAATTACCATGTGCCAGCTTGGCAGTACCACAGTGCCAAAGTCATTGTGCTCCCCATGTTGGGCACTGAGGAGAGCAACAAAGAGCTCCCACAAATCCATTTTTGCCACTCTGCATAATTGGTTCTCACATGTATCTTTCAAAACTGTGTGGGAATACACTATTGCAGAGGTGCAGCAAAGACAATCCCATCATGGCTAATTATGTAAAACACTTTGCACTTGAATAGAGCTATCTAAATGCCAGTTTGGGGGGTTTCTGTGTAATAATCATTATCTCTTGCATCCCTAATCAGTAGAGTGTAATCACTGATTGGAGGATTAGGGTGATGCAGGGGATTTTCTGCAAGGGAAATCCCAGCCCAGGCTTGCTGTTTGTATTCTGTCTCCTAAGGCTCTCACCAAAAGCCACAGCAGAGCAACTACAATGCCATATAGGACAGAGTTTTTCCTGATGGGAGACATCAGTCATTGGCTGAGCCATGGGCTGTGTCTGTATGTGGATGGAAAACAGCAGCCTCCCAAAAAAAAGTGCCATGTAAAAAACATGACAGTAACAGAAATCATAATGACTCCTTGACCCCTCTGCATTAAAGCAGTAGCTTTCACACTCTGGCATAGTTCTTAATTTCTCCCAAGATTTAAGGTAGAGAGCACCCCCATTCTGCATTCATTAGGTGCTATTGTGTATGGCAGCTTTGGCTGAAAAAAGGGGGAAAAAGTTTTTCCAAGGAACCTCATTTAGATGGCATTTGACTTTTGTGGGTTTGGCCAGTCACAAATCAGAGGGGAGTTTTGACAGGGAGTGTGGATGCCCAGAGCACAGAGTGACTTGTGAGTGGTGATTGTCTAAGTGTGAAAGGCCTGAGCACCTTTTGAGGAAGGTTTTCTTTTCTGAAGCCTTTGTGCCTTAAGAAATTATTTTCCTCTTTTAAACAGAAGCCTACCATTTTCAAGACACTGGAAACAAGGAAAAAACTGATTTTTTCCCTTCCTGTCTTTTAAGAGGAAGTTGCAGTTTTGGCTGATGCCTGAGCTGCTCACGTTACCAATAAAGGAGTTGGGTTAAACTGCAAACCTGCAAAGTGTTTGAGAGGAAAGGCACTGGACTCATTTTGCAGTCCTAGTAAGCCTCTAGGTCAGGGAGCTGTTTCAAATCAGAACATTCTATTGATTTCTTTTTAATACCTTCAGCTAACCAAACTCTCAGCCTTTTCAATAGCGTTTCAAACCTTAAAAGGATCAGAAACACAAGCAGATGAATTCTGTGTGTCATGACTGAAGACTACAAAAGCTTACAAAGTGATTTTCAAACATGACTAAAATTCTGATAGTTTAGGAGGTAAGTTGCCCTGAATTGCATTAAACTCCTTACCCACCAGGACTGGTTAAAGTCGCAGGTGGAGATCATTAGAAAATGAGAAACAGGCATTAATTTTTAAAATGTTGCTTCATCCTCAACATCTTTGTGATCAATATTTGAGCACTTCTACTTTTAACTAAGCAGGCAGTAATTTGAGAGGCATGCAGAAAACCTATTAGCTTCACTAAAATGAGCAAATTCAGCTCACTTTTTCTGCTGTGTAATGCCTTTTCATGTCTGTTTAGACCACTGTAACTGAGAAGAAATTTGACCCATCTCCCTATTCTCAGTCATTGATTCTATTAGATCAAGCCATAATTCAGAATTACTACTGGAAACCACCACCCATTAAACATGATTTTTAGAACAAAACTATATTATTCATCACTTTTCACAGTGATGGTGGAAAAAGGTATATAGAAGGCCCCCTACTCTGTCTCTGGTTCTTTGCCCCATTCACAAAAAGAGAAAACAAGGCTTTGCTAAAAAACTGTCTGCAACAAGGACTGAGTATCTTTTTATTTTCACAAACCCTATCCCAGCCTGACTGAGTCTTCAGGAATTTGGCAAAGAAGATAAGGCCTACTTAGCCTTCAACATTGAAAATAATGTAAAATATGTACAAGTATCCAACTCCTTTTCAGGGGTTGTACTGTTGCATTGAGATAGAAACTTTTTTAATAGACTACACTCTTAAAATGTGTTAGTCTGGGTACTCCAAAAGAAGCACTGTTAGTTGGTAATTATTTCTAAAAAATGTAAATGTTGAAAGTAGGAACAGAAGTAAGCAATTAGGCAAACTTGTGTAATTTTATCACTTACTTGTGAAGAGAACAAGACAGGAATGTAAATGTGACCAAAAAATGAATGTGGTTGTAGCAAGAATCGAGACTTCAATGCTTCCATGCCTGGCATTGGCAGAACATCAGCCTTTGTGGTAGAAATGACTACAACAAACTGCTGGTGACAGACATTGTCCTTTGCCCTGAGCTTTCTCAATCCTCCAGGTGCAGGCCTGTCTCTAACTGTCCCTGCTTAGAAACCTTGCCAATTTTCAAGGTAACATTGCTCTCAAATCTAAAAGGACTCTAAAAAAAGTCCTCCATATTCCCCTTTCTTCTAATGGTCCCTCATCTCCCTCAATGATTTGGCTCCTTACTGTTCACCTGCATCAACCTGGGATAAATCACTTGCTTGTCACATGATCCAAAATCACTCCTGCACTCTCTCTTTCCTACTGGACATCTATAGTGAAGTCTCTGAGTTTATTGAGCTCTCAGCTTATCTGCCTTTCTGGCTTCTGGACCCCTTTGCTTGATCTGAAGTGGTGATCCATTCAGTCCTGTTGCTGCTTGTTTCCTCATTCCTGCATCTGTGACCATGGATCAGTGCCCCTGCTCCCTAGAGATGGCAGTGACAGGACTTGGCCTTCACTGAGCAGTGCTCCCTCCCTTGCTTCTGCACTCTCGGGTCTCTGTGGTGTTAGAACTCTGCTGTATTCATCACCTCCTCTTGATTAGGGCTATGGATCATCTGCTGCTTAATCCCATTGCTTATCCTTCCTTTGTCTTCCAAAGATATTTTGTCCAGTTATAGTTACAGACATTATTTCTTCCAGTCCCAAGACCACTGATCCTTTATTTATACCTTAAACTTCTCTTAGCCCACTGCTGTGTCTGCTGTGCTCTTGTACAGACAATCTGTGTGGGCAGGCAGTGTCCAACTGCAGCTCATCTTTGCAACTGCATCCCTTCGTATTCTCACCTTGTGTCTTACCAGGAATTTTATTCTTTGGAGTCCCAATCCTAGCTCATGGCCTAGCCAGCTCCTGCTTCACAGGCTCCATAGGAGCAGCTGTCCTCAACCTGTTAGTGAGCACTTGGCTACAAAACCCGTGCTTCATCTTCATCTCCGTAGTCTGTCAGACTGACACCTTCAGCCATGCATTATTATGAGAAGAAGGAGTCTAGTTCTGATTTATGCAAACTTGTGTCACTTGTGTTTGGCCAGAACATCACTCAAATGTCTCAGCCCTTACCGCTGCACACTCTACATCACAGATGAGCCACATTTTTAAGGCTTGCTGTTTACAAGCTGTCACTTCTCGCTGTCTATCAAAGAGCTGCCTCCTGACTCTAATGATGACAGCCTGCAAGACCTTCTTCTTGTTAGATTTCCAAATAAACCAGCCTTCCTCAAATGTATGCCATGTATTCCAGGCTGCTCCTACTCGCTTTTGGGACCTGATACACATGGACCTCCTGTTTTCTGTGCAGCAACATAGAGGAAAAAAAGAAAGGCACAAACTTTTTTTTCTAGTTTCATGTCAGTTTGTAGAAAATGAAGCCTGTAATCTTAAAAATCAAACATTTGCAAGTGGAGGATTGAGTCTCCTGCCACAGACCAAATCAAAATTTGAAGCAGAAACTTGGAAGGATAGATGTTAGTGCAGGAAAGTTTTCTGACTTTTCCCTGACAGAAGAAAAACTCTGCTGTGAGCACTGAAATGTCTCTATCAAGGAGATAGAGACACTTTCTGAGTGCTTGAAGCATCGTAAGATGCATGAGGCAGCAGCATGTGACACCTCTGCCCTCTATGGGTCTGGAGTGGCACATTTTGTGAGTGCAGCAAGAGCTGAACGCCACAATTCTACTACAGCCTGAACTCTACAGCTATTATATAACAAAGGAAAACTCTCCCTCAAGCCAGTGTAAAGATCAGGATCTCCATTAGGTCTTTGGCCCTGGTGATGCAGATGTCTGCATGATTATGAGTCTCTCAGAAACAAGAGAAGTGGTCTCTACAGGGATGCTAAAAACACCCTTCAGGCTTACCTAAATTCACATTTAAAAAAATAAGATCTTGGCAAGTAATTTTGGGACTAGGTAGGTGGCTGGCATAGCCCCAAAAAGTGTGAGGTACTGTGAATAGCAGAGAGCAGTTCTGCAGCCCAGTGTTGTCTTGTTTACTCATTGGTGCTGAAGTGTCTAAATCCCAACAAATCCATACTTTTGCATAAGGGCAACAGATGGTGTATACATCCATATGGTAATGAGTCCCAGCTTATTTCCTGTCACAAGAATATACCAGTTCCCAAGGGGAAGATGGCCACAGAGCCATTCCCTCTACCACTGTGTGTTTCTGTACCTTTCATCCCACTGCCAAAGTCAAACAGACCTTCTGATTTAGCACTGTTGTGATACCTGCACACACTGTGTTGTTGTAGGCAGACACTTAAGACACAACTGTTAGAGCAGCATCAGATGATGACATTAAAGAGCTGCACCACAGAGAGAAATACACCTTTTGCTGATGATAGGCAAAGACTTTCAACGATGATTAGTAATTAATAGCTTAGTGAGAAATTCACCTTGTTTACTCCAATCATGATCCTAGAAGTAGTGTGCTATAGAGATCCCAGTGTCTTCATCTCTTGGGTGCTGTACCTGTATCTTTTTTCTTGACAAGCTGCAAACAACTTTTAAAATTTTGGTCAGTCAATAACTCAATTTCAGTACTTGTCTGAGGTTGTCCAATTTCAGCTCCTGCGGTATCTTCCCACTGCAAATAGGAGCTTTCCTTCTTGCATCAACATTAGCTGCACACAAGGCCATGTTTAAACTTAAAAAAGAGTAGAGAAGGGGGTCTGTTTTGAGTAAAGCTGAGGAAGTACTGTATTCCTTTAAAATTTAAAGCCTCTGCTGGTATGATCAAAATGCACTGAGTGTCAGGCTCCAGGAGGCAAAGTCAGAACAGGCAGTGATGGATCACGCTTACGGTATCGCTTCGGTTCATCTTTTTCCAGTTCAGATGCTGTGGAGTCTCCAACTACACGGACTGGTTCGAAGTGTACAACACAACCCGGGTGCCAGACTCCTGCTGCTTAGAATTCAGTGAGAACTGTGGGCTCCATTCCCCAGGGACCTGGTGGAAAGCGGTGAGTAGCTCTGCAGCACATGGCAGCAGCTGCCTTGCAGCCCAGGTGAAGGACAGGCAGTAGTGATTTGCAGGGCTGCAGAGATGATAAGCTGCGCACCTCATTCTATCCTAATTCACCTTTCATCAGGTGCTTTCAGAAGGCTCCTCTTGAGCTGTGGCCTTTGACCTCCAATGAAACCCCCTATTTAGTTATTTTTATGAGCTGGTTTCCTTTCAGTAGGCTCCAAGCTGTTGTTCCTCACTGCAGACAGGTCCATTCCAACACTGATCTGCAGCGCAGACTACTGACATCAAGCTAGGAAATGGCAGGAATGCCCTTTTCGTGTCCCACCTACTGGGGTCAGGCAGCAATAAAGGCAAATGGTTCATGCACACACAGGCCCTGGAGCAGCAGCTGTAGCTCATCACAGCCCAGGCAGTCCTGAGGCAGGAGGACTGGCAGAGCCTTGAGCACTCCTCTCCCACCAGGAGCTCTGGTTCGGGGGCCTCCACTGCACAGAAGAGTGGGAACTGTTCCGCTGAGTTGCCAGCAGCAAATTTTTTTGTTGCTGCACTTGCCTGTAATCAAATTCAAAACTCCATGGGATAATTTCCCTACAATGGCCTCAGCAAGATCTTTCTGGAACAGATAGTCAGAGCCTAAATATGTCTCTGAAATTACCTCAGCAATTCCTTGTGCTAATTGCAGGTAGTGCAATTACACAGGAGGGGTGTAGGCCACCTGATGAAGTGGAATTATAGCTAAGTTTTGCTGGTTCTAATGGTTTGTGAAGACAATGAGTAAAGCTGTCTTGGCCACTTTCTAGTGAGATTTCATATGCATGGAGGCTGAGTTCACATCAAACACAGCTTCCTTATACTTCTTGAGTAGCTCTGGGTAATTTTTTTAATTTAAGGACTGAAAAATTCTTCTTCTATTTTATTCAGGGTAGCAAGAAAATCAGTGTAGGTTAACCCTCTGGCTTCTGATGGCCATTAATGGTTCTTCCTTTATACATATGTAAAAACCCCTAACTGAAGGCTGAATGATTCTTGGCCATGAACATTTACAAGACAGGGGCCCCTGTTTTTGCACAAGGTTGTCTTACAGACATGATTATTTAAAGAAAGGTTTCACTTGGGCCAATTCCACCCTCCCCAAAACTGGACCAGTAAAACAGGGCTACAGCTGCTGCAGAATTTAAAGCATGAAGAAAGTAATGGAGGAGTGCCCATACTGCAGTTTGAAATGATTGGAAATGGTATGAAATGGGCCCATGTGCAGGAGGAGCAGCTACTGAGCCACTCACACTGGAACTGTTTGGTTTCATGTGTCTTTATGTATTATAAGAAATGTTTATTTTTCTTGAAATGTGGAGAAAATGAAAGCCTCATTGTAAGGTTCTAACTGCTTCTGGTTGGGTTTTAGAGAGCAAAGAGGACCCAAGCCCAGTGTTTATTTGTTGTGGTTTAACCCCAGTTGGCTACTAAGCCTGCTTACTTTCCCACCAGTGGGACCAAGGGGAGAAGCAGAAAAGTTAAAGTGAGACAAGAGTGGGTTGAGATAAAAACAGTTCAATAGGGAAACCAAAAAACCATGCTCTGTGTAACCTCTGCTCAATGATAACAAAAAATATCTCCAGATTATCAACCCTGTGTTCAGGACAAATCCAAAACACAGCCCCATACCCATCACTGTGAAGAAAATTAACTCTACCCCAGCCAAAATCAGCACAGTATTTTTAGTTACTGGCTGTATTTATACGGAGCAGTGCTCATGCAGCATTTTGGAGGTGCACTGTTTTGTGTCTGGGATTAGTACTCCATGTTCAAGCTCCAACCCAGAAATACATTGTAGTTGCTCCAGCACAGAAATGATAATCCAGGCTACCTAGAAGCTGGGTCAGATCCATTTTCTCTCTAGCTGTATATTCCTGGGAGAGTAGAGCTGTATTTATGGCCAATACAATATTCTTGGTTTGTTTTTCTTTGTAGCCTTGCTATGAAACTGTGAAAGTATGGCTCCAGGAAAACTTACTGGCAGTGGGAATCTTTGGATTGTGCACAGCTATGGTGCAGGTACAGTTTAATATCAATTTACAAATCCTTAGTAGTTGTAACTAAGTAACCACAGATTCAGATATATACTCTGCCTAAACAGGTTTTAAATCTTGCAGAATTTTTGTCTACCGTCAGGCAAAATTATTAAGCACTTTGAGTTTTACTTTAGTTAAAATACTGTGTACAAGGCACAGAACTAGGAATACTGCACAGTGTTTTATGATGCACTGCAAAGAGCTGGCACTTTATCAAGTGGTTTATGTAAGACTGAAACTGGACTTGGGAGGGGAGACTGGACTCCAGACACCTAATCAGGGTAGGATGAACTGCCTTTAGGGTGCCTCTATTTGTCCAGTTATTCTCCAGAGAGGACTTAGGCTAAATAGCCAACTTCAGCATAGTCTAGAGGTAACTTAAGTCTTCAACCTCACCCCTCAGGCCCAGGGTAAATTACAAATCAGGATGTGGTGCCCAAACCCTGCCAATAAACCCATGTTCCTTTACTATGATTGGCATAGACATGCCTATCAGATTTCTGAGTTGCAATCCTTTCCACTGTGACTTTGGTCAGAGAAGAATCTGTTGTCCACCACTTAGTCTCTTACATGCCTGTGCCTGTAACCCAGCCTGCTGTGGTTGTGCCAGTGTAAGCACCTGTGGCACAGCCTGAGGATACACAGGTGAAAGTTGTGCTGGAGCTCTGGCTGGTTCAAAGTGCCTTTCCTAAATTCAGTGAAGATCTAGCTTTAGTCTCCAGCTCCCCCTCTCTCACACCCAACATGCAAGCACAAAGGATGGCACTGCTAAGCTAATTAACACTGTGGAACTGCAGATTAACTCATGGTTCTTTGGTTTGGTTGGTTTTTTTTTTTTTTAAATTTGCCTGGTATGCCACTAGCAGCAGTAGGAGAGAGGCTGGGATCAGTATTCCACTCACATTCCCAACAATGACAGATTAGGCAGAATGGCACATATCTTACTCTCTCATATGTCATTTATTGGCTGCAACTTATTAATGCAAATGCCTGACGCCTCACGGGCCCAAATTCAGTAGAGTTCTGGGGCTTGTTCCAGTATAATAAGCAGGTATGCTTAGAGAATAAAGCACAAGATCATATGGCTGACAGGCAATTTATGACTGTTGTTAATATATTACCATGACTAAAAAAAACAAACCAGCTTTTGAGCATCCATTCCTCATTTAGGGTATCTTTAAAGGATACACTAAAAATCCCCAGCAGCCCATGGTCAGAGTCCTTCTCATAAATACCCTAAGTATATTAAATTTCTAAGGCAATACTATCTTTCTGACAGAAAGACATTGCTAGTTTGCATGGGAGGAAGCACTTCAGACAATTTAAAAATGCAGATTCATATTCCTAGTAAATGCTGTGCAATGCAGGGAAAACACCTCAGAACACAACAGATTTTCAGTCTGCCTTCCAGCTGCCTGGTATGATTGAATGTACCTGATGACAGAAGTTACTGTGTACTGTCACCTGAAATGAACTGAGCCCCATCTCTTGCTGCTGTTTCAGTTGTGTTCTGGCCCATAGCATGTGGCAGTTTTTCATGTTAGCATCTTAGAGAATCATGCAGTCACATAATTTGAAGGACATAACAGCACATGCAACAGAAGAATCTTCCTCAGTCGTCATGCATGCTTCAGACTAGAAACCAAATTCAGCTACCACTGTTTTGTTACATAGCTGTCCCTGAAGGTGGATACTTCCAAAAGGCCAGTGCTTGCTACAAACAGCACACCAAAACCTAATAATCTGATTTCACTGTAGAAGAGTGAGACTTGAGGAAGATTAACAATAACCATTTTGTCTTCATAAATATAAATTCATTTTTTAACCATTTTTTCTTCATAAATATAATTGTGTGTGTGTGTATTCATATATTCTTTCAAACTACTCATTAACAGGAACTATTACTCATGTAAAGACTAAATTTGAAGTGGTCAAATTAAGTGCTTAAAACAGAATTCATACCCTAAAATTTTCTACCTGGCAGCCCTTCATTTCAGTGAGAACTCTTACAGTGGTGTTGCAAAGGGAAAGTAACAAGCACTTAGTACACTCATATAGGTACTTCAGCTGGAAGGAAAATAAGACTCTCTCTCCCATCCCTTTTGATGAAGTAATCCACCAGAGACAGCACAACAGGTCAGTGCTTAGCTGGGAGAAGAACCCCCACCTCCCTGCGGCTTCTCTTGAATAGGCTGCATAGAAAAACACATCCATTGTTGATGAGGCATTGATGGCCATGATTAATGCATGTTCAGTCTCCAGTGATTCCCCCACAGGGACCTGTGCACACATACACTTGGAAAAGTAAAGTACAGTCCAGTAAACCACTGCATCTGTAGGGCCAGGGTTTAACCCAGTGTCTCTCAAAACAACAGCTACAGGGACACCCACAGAATACCCACACAGCTGTGGATTGCTACTGTAAAATATTTTCAAGCAAAAGGCATCCAAATTTTTTTCAATATACCTCTTCCCAGTATCTGGTGAGAAATGAACTCTCCCCTGCTCTCACTGTCCGTTCTGTAAGACAGCAAGAGGGATAAGGACAAAAGGCAGACAGACTCTAGGAATAGAACAAGGACATGCACAGGCAGGAAACACAGTATGTGATATGTCCTCCTGTGTGTGAACAAAACTAGAGTCATGCTTTGCTCTTTTTTTTCTTGTTGTTTCAATAAATAGGGTTTTTTACTTACTGAAAAACAATTGTTTGTTGTTTCTTTTCTCTTAGATTCTCGGACTCACCTTTGCAATGACCATGTATTGTCAGGTAGTCAAGGCAGACACCTACTGTGCATAGATACCATTCCCAATCTTTCTGCTTCTCCTCCAAAGGACACAGGAGAAATCTCCTTCATGCTCATTCATCTGACCTTTCCCCACCCCCCTTTGTACTATAAACTGTGTATAATGCTATCTTTCTGAAGATTTTGTGAATCACCCCACTTTACTGAAGGAGGAAGAAAAGAAAAAGTCAGTACTTGAAGTGGCACAGGTAAGAAGCAGCCTTGTCTTTCAGCAGAGGAAAACCAAAAAAGCAATGGTTCCTTTTCCATGGCCTGTGGCAAGGCAAGAGAGGCTGCTTGCAAGGGGCTGACTGCAAACCCATGGTAAGAAAAGATGGCACTGAGGCAACCTCTGCAAAAACTGCCAGGCTGCCTTCCTGCATTTCCCAGTCTGGAAGAGAGGATGTAGAAAACAAATGTTCTTCAGCAAGAAGGTACAGAGTAGCTAGGACTGAATGCAATTGTAATTTTACTACAGTTTGCACACAGCTAAAATGTCAAGATCAAGCAGCCCTGCCTCCAAGTGTCTCAAGATGATTTTGTAACCAGGAGAGGATCATCTTCAGAAGTCCATTGTTTTAAAGGAGTATTTTTAATCTTCTGTGCCGCAGAGTCAGGCTTTTAATCAGAATCTGTACAGTGAGATCCTGGCTGTTAATGGAAAACAATATTGGACATTGCCTCACTTCCTAATTGCCAGTGGCATATAGATGGTTGACTGCATATGTTATATATATTACATTCGTAAACACATACTTTTCTGAAAGGAGGTGAAAATACCCAGCATCTAACCTCAGAAAGAGGAAACCTTTCTATCCTATTTTACATTCCAACTGAAATAACCAAGTATTATTTCTTGTACAAGGCACTATCACTTATACCTCTGGGAAACAAGTAATTACTTTCAGCTGTATCTTCATTTCAGTAAACAACTTGTGAGTGGGCTCTCTCTGTCAGTCTACTATGGTTTTATTTATCATCCCTGTTTCAAGTAAGTCTGCCAAAAAATATCACTCATTTCCATGCTTGAAGATGTGTACAAAGCTGTCAGCTGTTCTTTCCCTGAATGTCACCATTTCATTAATTTACTTTGGGATAACATCATCTGCAGGTATGATAGAGTTTGCCTTGCTGAGGAAAAATCTTTTGCACATTGCTCATTTTTCTGAGAGTTATTAAGATTTCAGATGCTTTTATGCTTACCTTTTTTTTTCCTCCCAGCTGCACACTGACAACAGCCAAGACACATCAGTCTCTGTTAGAACTGGAGTCACTTCTCAGTGCTCTTTTTCAGATGCATTTTTCTTCACCTAGCTGCTGGTTAGAATATAATCCACGCTTTCTAGAATATCATGGAATCACAGAAATATGCAGAAATCAAAACCATTACTTTCTTTAACTGGGGAACAGCCACTCATTAATAACTGAAGTAATTGATGTAGTACCCTCCTATGCACATCTTCTGGTGATGAGGTTAAAAATCAGATGTGTCCTATAGTTCAAACAAATAATTCCCTGCCAGCAAACAGCTCCAGGTAGTGCATATGTGCCAGGGAGAAGCTGAAGCACCCCAGGGAAAGGGCACAGCAGGGAACAGGCAAACAGAGCAATGCAGATGGCCCTCTCCCTTCAGCCAGCATTTGTGCAGCTCTCTGCCACTGTCACTTAGAGCAGAGAGATGACCATGGAGCTGTTTTCCCAAGAAGCTGAGTGCAGCCATTCCTGCAGACTGGAAGCATGCAGCAAGTTCACAGGGAAAGTTACCTTGCTTACAACAGCAGGTCTCAGCTCTGAGTGACATTTTGCATGCTTTGATTTAAAGACAATTCCCAGCACAAAACTGCACTTGCCAACCCACAGTCTATTGAACAATCTCCTTTACACCCATAACTAACCCTTTTCTGGACCTGCATTATTTGACAGATTCACTCTCACTCATCAGATTTGGGAGATTTTTTTGTCTCTGCTGATTTCCTGCAGTCTTCTCACTCTCAGGCATGAGCTACTCCATATTTTCTGGGAAATTGCTTAGGACAGTCTGGTGTTTAAAAGAGCAATTATTTTCCAAAATTTTACCCCCATGGGGCATTTAGCTGTGCAGGCTAAGGTAAAAGTAATGTAATAATTCTGTGCATTTTTTGTGGCTTCCCCATCACTATCACAGCAACCTCCCCAGCACTAAAGGATTTTACTGTCATGCAAACAAGCCCCAACATACCCAAGCTGAGCAAGCAGCCCACACACAGGTGCCCTGTGCCCCAAAGCAAGAGGCTCACTGGTGTTGCAGTCACCACAGTCTCCCTGCTTTCTGCTTCTTGAGCCCAGGCTGACCTGCACACTGTCCTGCTCTCCAAAAGATGGTGTAAGTTTGTTCCTTCCCTCTCTCTACTCTGTTCTTTTCTTAACCTGCACAGATAAAATTCCAGGTTAGCTGTGCCATTAGTTCTTGCCTTGGTTTATAGTTTGTACACAGAGGTGCTTCTGCTGACAACTCAGAGTTTCTGCCACTGAAAAGCAGCATGACACAGTGATGAATACATTCATAAAACATTGATTTTTTTTTTGAGACAAATAAAAGGTAGACAAGTCTATTTGTAGTGATCCCTGCCATTAAAAATTAACACAGAGGCAGCAGGCTGATGATGGTTCAGCTGATGGGAGCAAACCATTGTGCAGAACTCCCACAGAGAGCAACTCTTATCAATTTGCTTGATGGTGGTGTAGAGAAAAGAGAGATCACAGACCTTTCTCCTGTGAATCTCACAGTAATATGTGCTGAGCTCTTAGAGAATGCCTCTAGACTTCAGCTAAAGCTTCAGTGGAAACAAAATATGAGAAGCAGACTGGAGACAAGTCACATTTTGTGGTTTCCTCTAATAATTTTCCACAGTTTAGGTGTCTTTACAAGATAAACTTTTTTGGTTTTAAAAAACAAGTACCTAAAGGGAGTATAAGCAACCCTCACTTTGTAAATCCCAGTCACTACAACAAAAACATACAGTTAGGGGAAAAAACAAAACAGAACAGAAAAACACAAACAAAACAAAAACCCGCAGATCACATATTGCTGCTAATAATTATTTTTAAAATATTCCTCTTCCTCTACCAACTGTGATGCTACTGCAACTTGTTCATAATTGGAACTGGACTATTTTGTATATTTAATGTTATTAACTTTCTCCACACAGACCAAACAGCTGTTAGAGTGCTTACAGCATTACGAGCACAATCCAATTTTATACCTCTGAACATACTGCATATAACAAGCCTCAGACTTACCATATTTTCTTAAGATCACTGCATCCTTTCTCTGCTGACAAGGTCAGAAGATTTTGTGATGTGTAACAGCAACAATCTTTCAAAAAAAAAAACCAAAAAGCCAAAAAAAGACAGTTCCATTTTACACATTAAACTGGTTGATTATATATAAGTAACCTGTAGTACATAATATCCATTTGAAAGGCTGCTGATATTGAATGCAGGCAGAGCAACACAGAAGTCATTCCAATTGCTTCTATTAGTGTCTTGTCACTTTTAGTAAAGCCTTTTATATTATTGTGACTTCTTATCTTTAAACATGAAGGAGGACTCAATACATTTAAATTAAAGACAGAACCAAAGGCAATAAAGGAACACTCCTAATTTATTCTCATGGCTGTTTCTGCTTAATAACAAGATATGAAGGCACAGGGCATATGACTAAACCTACTGAATTCAGCAGCATCAGGATTTAGCTTTTTAGATTCAGTCTAAATGTACTTTTGGCTTTTCATTTTCACAATTATTAAAAAACCCACCCAAACCCATATTTAATGGAATATGGTTTATTTTCCTGTACTGTCACTAGCAGCCAAATCTTGTTACTTGTACAACAGAATTACTTAGCTCCTCATCATACAGTGCACACTCACTGAAATACACTTCAGTTTCTGTTCTGTGAATAGTTCTTTGGTCTCCCCCCTCAAAATAAACAAACTCCTAAAAGTTTATTCTATGATCAATAATTAGCATTTAAATGCAGCATTGTAGGATTTATCATATGGAGAGGAAGGGACTGCACTGTAGAAGCTGTAAAAATCCTCTCTTGCATCATCAATAGGGCTGCTTATGGAATCCACCCCAACCCTCACTTCTCACAAACTGATGAGAACTGGTCACACAGAGTACACAGAGTGACTGGGCTGCCTCTTACACCTTCCCAGGGCAGGACAGGAGGGTGTCAGTCAGCATGGACAAAGTAACAGCTTTTCATTTACCCCTTGGCTTCGGTGTTGTGCCATAAATGGGGCACCAAAGGTAAGCAACAGAAACCAGCAGTCGATTGTGGCATTATTTAAACCCAGACTCCTCATTTACTCTAATTTATCTGCAAGAATTTGCTAAATGTAAATGATCTGCATAGATACTGAGTTAGACAGTTAGAAAACACATTGGGACTTGCCATGGGAAATCTTGTTTGGATTCCATTGTGAATTCTCCTCCCTTGTCACTGGTCTCTTACCACAGTGGGCAGTCTCCTCTGTTCTTTGGATTTTGTTGCTGCAATTACAATGGTACATTTTTGTGCATTCATATAAAGAACAAAATTTAAAATATACCTTTTATTTTTTAAAAGTTATTAAATATTCTTAAAGTTTACAACAGAATGTCTTTTGTATTTTTTATAAGCAACTGCACTACAAGCTGAACAGTGATTCTATACAGACCCAGAGATGTGTGTGTGTGCAAGTGTGGGCAAGTACACACACATATACTGTATGCAATTTAACAAAACCCTACAGTGTTCTACTTCTGTGTCATTTCTCATTACCTTTTATTTGACCTGTCCTTCCTTACAAATTTATTATTATTATTTATGTGGCTTACCTATTCCCAGTTCAATGTACACTTCTTTTTCCTTTTAAGGGCAGGCTACCTGAAATTATGTGATAGTCAGTAACAATTCAGAAACTACTGGGAGATCAGGTTTAGTGTTAAAATATACTTAGCCCAAACCAAATTATTTTGTGTTCACAACTTGTCTGTTACTGATAACTTTGAAATAAAAGAACTTCTCTTTTTCTGAGGTACTTGCTTACATTCAGAAATTATGTAGTAAAACTTAAAAAATTAAAAATTAACCAGAATCTTTTAAAATTGAACAACTAGGAACTTGTACTGTCTCAAATCAGAACAATGTCTGGTTAGCCAGGTATGTTATCTTCAGCCATGTCTAACACTGTCTTATTTTATACAATTTGTTGTACCCTACAGGTCAAATAACTTTGCAAGTGAAATTGCCTCTAAACTGTGCATTCTGAGCAACACAAGTGTACTATTGAAATTGTAATGGGAGAAGTAGGGACCCAGAGGTTTTAGAGTTTATTGCAGGAAGCATCATAAGGGATAACGCATATATTTGATGGAAGTTTCTTACAGCTCCCTCACTTTAGGAGAGATGTTTACATTACTTGAATTGTCTTGATCCCATTTAGTGCACCACTAGATGGTCTCATCAGCCACACCTATCTTTAATCCCTTTCTGACTTTGTGAAACTTTCACTTTAGTCCTGCAGTATAGCAGTGAATTTCACAATTTCTTAGTGTTGCATTTAAAAAAATCCTTCTTACATGGATTTTAACATTGTTGCCTTTCAATTTCATTTACTCACCATTGGTTCTATGCTTCAGGAATGATAACTTAATGATGCTTACAGAAATACATGGGCTCAGAGCAGCATTACCTTTACAACTTAATTTGCCTTTCCAGTAGAGCTTAACCCTGGGTAATTGAGTACCCTATTGATTTTTAAGATCCCATTGTTTCAAACAACTAAGCCAGTGTACCTTCCCCCAGTAGCTATCCTGTTTGTCTTTGCTTTTGTACTCTATCTTGGCATAGACAGAGCTGTTCCTACTTTAAGCAACAACCAGATGAGTGTTTCACCCTACAATCTGCTATTTTTCCAAAGTACACTTAACACAACCTGGAAATATCAGGCCTAGCTCATTATTCTGGCTGTATAAAACAAAGTACTTTCTGTCTTCATGGCAATAATTTTCAAAGAAATTTAAGGGCAGCTTATGAAGCTTCATCCAAAGTTTTATCTTTGACACATTAAAAGTGCAAAACACAGAGCCCTATGTTTCTTATCTTACCATGCTAAAAACCCCAAGAAAATAAATCTGTCATTAATAACTCATCTGGCAAATATAATTTGAAAGACTGTTTTTCTGAAATCCCATTAGTTGCCTAAGGTAGGTCACTTTACCCTAGGCCTTGCTTCCTTGTCTCTCCCTGCAATAAACTGCTTCCCCATGGAAATACTGTCTGTTCACTAGATATCCTGGGGTTTGCTGACCTGCAAGAAGAGCTCAGTTTACATTCCTCCCTCTAAAAGCCAGAAAACATTCACTACCAAATCTACACCAGTGTGTGTTAGACAGCTGAACAGAAGTTCTGTCTTAGGATGAGGGTTTTTAATGAAGAAATGCTGATCAGTTGAACTGATTTCTCAAACAAGTCCTTGCTATCTTTTATGTAGAAATCATTTAGGCAGAGCAGAATATTTTATTACTACAGAATTGCTTAACAGAAACTTCCTTGTACTTGCAATTAAAGAATAATTTGAAAGGATGGGATAATTATCCACTATAAACTTCCCCTTATATTCCCATAGCACTGCTATTACAGAGTATAGTTCAAATCACAGGCACCAAAATAAAACATGTAACTGTATTTAGTTAAATACATAGAAAACAAAAATATATGTGAAGGAAAGTACAGCATAAAGAACTCCCAACTGTTAATGTATAGTGCATGTGTCTGTCTCATCTGGACTGTGACAAGAGTTTCAGGTGTAAAGCATTCATCCTGAAGATTAACTAAAAATTACTGGAGAAATACAGGGATTCTGGGAACTGGTTTCTCAAAGTGTATTCAGATGCACCTCATTATCTTCCTCTTCCACAAATGCCCTTCTTTGGCTGTTAAGCTTAAGTCCATCGTTGCTCCTTCCACCTCCACCATTCTGCTTTCCTGCACACAAAAATACGTTGTCAGTCAGAGTACCAGGTGAGATGTGGAGAGGATCCAGTTGTTTGACTGCATAAAGTTTAGTGCCCAATGGTAAAGACAGGTTACATGGCTTTACGAAATTCAGGTTTGATACTGATTTAGGAGACCACAGTCTCTACAGAACAGAGCAGAATAAGTACAGTGACAGAGAAATTCATGCAGCCTGGTTGTGGACCTATGTAGTGACTGAATCTGAATTGCTTTTAATGTCCTCAGTTCCTTCATGCAAGCCTGCAAATGGCTAGACAAGCACTATCAAGCAGAACTGTTTAGCATGCTCCAGACAGACTACTGCTGCAGGGATTCTTTTTCCTTTTTTTATTTTTTTAACTCAGTTTACCTTGGAAACTTGTTCAGTGTTATTGTATCAGCCACAGATGCAATTAACAGATTCTGATATTTTATCTCAGCTTGAATAATAAGCACCCAGGATACTGAGGTAAAAAAAAATGCCTCATCTTAGAAATGATGCATTTTTTGTTCTTTTGAAATGCTCACCTGCATCCATACACTCTTAAGGTGACTTAAGGGGCAGTATATGCATCCCCACCGTTTGTACTGTGGCAGCCCAACTGTCTAAGGTAACTTCTATTATAAAAAAAAAAAAAAGTGTGTTTGTGTAATTCTCAGAGCTCTGATTTTCAGGCCATCATTTCTCAAAGAACAAACGCTCTCCCACCCTTAAGAGAGTTAGAGCTGTTTGCAAACTCAATTAGGATGAAGCATTTGCAAATACTCCAGGAAAAGAGCACTCCTCTGTGTTGATTGTAATGCTTTTTTGGCACCCCACCTCTCACTCCCTAATCAAATACCAGGTCTCTTATCACAGCCAAGGTCACCAAAAGCTTTGTTGCACTCTCAGAACAGCACACAGCCTCCCTCCCTCCCCACCAATGGCCCCCTGCGTTAATGTCACTTGAAAGCCAAGCTGGCATTAGTTGAACAGGGAGGCTGGATGGAAGTACAGGACAAGCTCTTTGGGTAAATTCTTCATGCTGTAAGCTCAGCTGCAGGAACTGGACACACAAATATATTAGAAATAGTAATATATCCCCCTAGAAGCCAGAGGTGCTTTGACTATTCTGGTGAGCAGCTAAGTTACGGTATCTTAAGGGCAGAGTTGCCTCAAAACCTCATGATTGAAAACACTCCTACTTTTGGGGGAAGAACAGAAATTGTGAACTCAGACCTGTGCACAACAGAAGGAATTATGGCTTTGCAAATGCAAACATAAGAGAGTACATAGACTGAATTGATGTGTCATATAATTACTAACTCACTTGCCCTAAACAAAGTAATTCACCAGCTTGGAAGTACAGCTTGTTGTCATGGAACTTGCTTGATATTTGGTGCTAATAAAAATTGAAGTTTTAAATCTCCCTGTGAAGTCCGTGCATTGAAGTTCTTCCCTATTAAACACCTTCTTATTCCTGACTGTGCACCACAGCTGGTTACCCTGACACAAAACATCTTCATCATCAAAAGGTCCTTTGAAATAAGTGCTCACAGGTTTCAAAGAAGAATTATCACAGGAAAAACTGGCACCATTAAAAGCTTGCTGCAAATCACACTCTCTTGTTCCTGATAGAATCAAGACTTAATGTACATATAAAAAAATCTATGTGCATCAACCCAATCTATGTGTTCTCCAAACCCAGATATTCCAATGCAAGCAATCTTTGCTATGGGTGGCACAGGACTCCAACTTATCCAAATATCTGTGCCAGGAAAGGTGAGGAAGAAAAGGGAAAATAAAAAGGACAGATATAAAAAGAACATAAATTAAGATTAAGAGAGGAGGTTGGAAATGGACAAAAGACCTGAGCAGTCTGGTTTTCCCCACTGTAAGGTACAAAGATAGAGCAGCATCCCATGAAACATGTGGTGAGCCTGTTCAGAACAGGCCCTGTGTCCTGTTCCAACTGCTTTCCTGTTCTCTTCAGACTGCAATCCCATCTATTCCCCTTCTAGGTGCAGCAGGTTCACCAAGCTAGTGAAGGACAAAAATTCTCAGATGATGAGCAGCTCTAAAGGGTACAGAGCTGTACCCTTTACCCTGTGATTTCTCTTCCATCCTCCAAATTTCAGTTCTTCCAGCCTAGCAGGAGATCAATCCTGTGCAGTGGCATTGCATTTATATGTAATTTAGACATTATTGAAAAATGTTGAGGATAATAGGATACATCTGCAGGTCCTGAGGGAACTGCTGGATGAAGAAGCTGAGCTACTATCCATCATATCTGAGATATATAGCAGTGCAGTAAAGTTCTCACTGACTGGAAAAGGGGGAACATAATCCCCATTTTTATACAGGGAAACATGGGATTGCTGGAGAACTACAGGCCCATCAGTTTCACCTCACTGCTCAGCAAAATCATGGAGCAGATCCTCCTGGAAAGTATGCTAAGGCACATGGGAAATAAGGGTATGTCTGGGGGACAGCAAACATGGCTTCACTAAAGGAAAATTATGCTTGATAAATCCAGTGGCCTTCTCTGATGGGCTTACAGAGGTGGAATAAGGGCAGAGTGACTGCCATGACTATCTGGACTTGTACAAAGCTTGACACTGTCCTGTACAACAGCCTTGTCTCTAAACTGGAGAGACACTGGCTTGATGGATGGACCACTCAGTGGATAAGCAACCGGCTGGATGGTGACTCTCCAAGTCCAAGAGGAGACCAGGGAAGAGTGGTGTTCCTTGGGGGTCCAGGAGCACTGTTGGGACCAGCACTGTTCAACATCTTTGTCAGCAACGTGGGCTGTGGGATCGAGTCACCCTCAGCAAGACTGCAGACAACACCAAGCTGTGAGGTGCAGTCAACATGCGGGAGAGAAGAGATGCCATCCTGAGGGGCCTGGACAGGCTGGAGAGACTGGCCCATGGGACCTTCAGGAAGTTAAACAAAGCCAGGCACAATGCCCTGCACCTGAGCCAGGGAAATCCTGACAGGCTGGGCAAACACAAATACAAACACAGGACTGAGAGCAGCCTGGAGGAGAAGGAGTTCAGCGCTGTTGGCAAGAAGCTCAACAGAACCTGACAATGTACTCTTGTATCCCCAGAAAGAAAAGCAGGGCAGTCAGCAGGTTGAGGCAGCTGATTCTCTCTCTTCTCCACTCTGGAAAGATCCCACCTGCAGTACTGCATCCAGCTCTGGGGCTTCTGACATAAAAAGGACGTGGACCTGCTGGAGCGGGTCCAGAGGTGGCCACAAAGATGCTCAGAGGGCTCAAGCACATCTCCTGTGAGGATGAGACTGAGAGAGTTGGGATTTTCAGGCTGGGGCAGAAATAGGTATCAGAAATAAATTCTTGACTGTGAGTGTGGTGAGGCACTGAAACACATTGCTCAGAGGAGTTAATGGATGCCCCATCCCTGGAAAGCCAGGCTGAATGGGACTGTGAGCACCCTGATCCAGAGAAAACTGTCCCTGGCTCATGGCCAAGGGATTGGAACTAGATAATCTTAAAGGTCCTTTCCAACCCAAACCATTCTATGGTTTAAAAGAATTCAGCATGTCACAGGTGATCTGTCACAGCTGTTCTGATCTGTCACTGTTACATGGAGCACAGTATCCTGCAAATGAAAAAGCTTTCTTAGTATCAGTGCAACTACACAGAACACAAGAGCATTCAGCTACACAGACTGAGTGCTGAACAACTGACTACTCTGGTGCCTTACATGCACAAGCAGCTCTGATGAAGTATTAAAGAGAAATTCAGGATAACACTGCCACTCTCAGTGCTGATGATGCAAGCTTATTTCATTTTCATTTTAATTTAGTGAACTCTCACTGAAATGAAAGACTCCCTGAAAGCTTTATAGCATGAAGTGAAATGGCAAATTAAATTGAAATTGAGATAATCCCCAGAAATGTATACAAAACTAAAGCAACTCAAAGTCTAGACACCTTTCAGACTGGCAAGTTTTTATAAAAATGAGAAAAAGCAATCTCCTATAATTCTCAAGCTTTTCAATCTGTCTGAGGACATCCCAGAATGCACCACATTGTGTCCACACTATCATTGCAATGGGACTACGCAGATCTCTATCACAGAATGAAGTACTATTGAAACGTGAACCCAAAGCACCAGAGAATTTCACATACAGGAGTTGAAAAAACCTATTTCCTCTGTCTACTTTATTGAGATCACATATCACAAGTATCTATGTAGTTTGCACTTCAGTATTTTCAAATAGCAGCATTTGCTTGTTTGAAAGCCAAAGCAAAATCTCTGTTCAGGTAGGAAAGTTGCTCAACTCTGCAAGTTTATTTTTTCAAGTCTGTGTAAAACTATTTCTGCAGCAAAACTATGATAAGTGAAAACCCACAAGGAATTGCACTCTGGCTGTACAGATGTGCACAGAAGGAATATAAGCCCCAGGAATGAAAGTAGATTTCCCAGTAGGCAAAGTTGAGCTGTAGTTTCAGTTAAGTCTTCAGTGAAATTTTTGAAGCAGAGAATATGATGATTCCCCAGGGAAACCACACAACCACAATGCCTTCACATATTTAAAGATTATCATTCAGGGCTTTTAAATCGAGCTCTGTGTTTCCATTAATCCACTCAGCTGCCAGCCCAATCTCACACTGGCAGGCTCACTGCTCCCCAACAATTGAGAGCTTATTAAATATTAAGGTCTTAATCTTAAGTACTTCTGTTTGACTGAGAAATTCTAAACAGCACACCGAAGATAAACATTTTCTCACATATATATATATATATACACACAGAGAAAGAGCAGTATTAGATAAAGGCAAATGTCCCCAAAATAGCAGGAGAGTTGTGTAATAAATCCATTCATTTTAAAGCAGCCCATATATCCCCACAGTCACATCCCCTTCCAGTTATCTGGATCCAGCTTTCACAGGTTTACCTCTGAAGGACAAAAGTTCACCTCTCTCCTGGCCTTGAAATGCCAGCTTAGGAATTAGAAAGATGGTCACACTAGGATTC